GGTAGAAGGAACTGGAAGAAATGTCGACAATGCAAGGTAGCAAGAAGGACGAAGCTGCAGGCTACCTGAGTCCTGGCTGCCACACGCTCACTTGCACATGCCACACAGCTGATGTGGTCACAGGAAATCCAGAGGCTCAGACACACGGGAAGTGGCAACAATCACACTCCCCCTGCCTGCCAGACCCCCCTAGGTGTACACCATTGGTGCCACCGGCCCCTGCTCATTCTTCCAGCCTGCCTGTTCTGAGCCAAGGAGAATGTGAATTTTCCCTGCATGGTCCTAGGATAACAGCAGGGGGCCAAATTCCTTTGTGATTTGGAGGCCCACTTGCGGATCTTGGAGGCTTTATAGTGTTTTAAAATGGAATTTCCAGTATCTTCATGGTTTCCTAATCTACTTACTTTTAAAATAGAAAACTGCATCAATTTTAGGCCCAATTCCTGGGAAGTACTTGGTAGTCAATTTGGGATAGCCAGGGTCCATGGAATGTCTCCTCTCATCATACCTGAGCAAATAAATCATTAACAGAAAAATCAAAAAATGCATTTCAGGACATGCATTTTGGGAAAGGCTCTTCCCAAAAGAGTTTTAACTGTACTGATGAGGAAAACCAAGTACCTAAACAGTTCGCTGGTGTACTGCAAGTCCCTGTAAGATTCCAAACCTGGGCTTCCTGAGTCTAGGTAAGCCTTTCCCCCCATTCTCACCAGGCTTCCACCAGTGCCTGGTCCTGCTTCATAAGGAATTGAGGGTAACTTGGCTGGAGACCAGGCTCCCACTGACAAATTATTTAGATGCCCGTCATTGCCTTCTTTTCAAAACTTTCCACTGAGACAAACACAACCATTTGCCCCCAGAATATAATAGACAGGGAAAGGTTTAAGTGCCAGGAAGCCAAAGGGTTTTAAACATACATGTCAGAAAGAAATTGAAAATACATCTGTTTACATGCCCAGGCTGTATAGTCAGGTTCTAGTTTCTCTCCTAAATTCTCTTCTATCAGTGTGTGCAAACAGTTTTGTTTCTCTGTAGAGTTCCAAGTAGCAATTGAATCTACCTGTTATCTTATTGTTATTCAATTTAGTTCTCCAAGTATTTATTGCTTGCTTAGCACTGTCCCAGTGGCCTTTAAAGGAAAGAAAAATCCTGGACCACGTGAAAGCAGAAAAGTACATAGAGCCTCTGGTTAGAGTTGAATTGCTAATGTTGGTAACAGTAGGCTATGACAAACTACCGCAATTTAGGAGCTCTTCCGAAAATCTTATTTGCCGTAATCAAAATTTTTGTCTCCAAGCAGGCCTAAGGGTTGGTGGACAAACTCAGTTAATAAGCATGTGATATTCAATTGGAATTAGATGTTGAATTTTAAAATTTCAAAAAAAGTAGTGTTTATGATGTAATCATCTTAACACATTTTATTATCCAGTTAATAAGCATGTGATATTCAATTGGAATTAGATGTTGAATTTTAAAATTTCAAAAAAAAGTAGTGTTTATGATGTAATCATCTTAACACATTTTATTATGCTTCATGTGCACCACACAAAAATCTGGGAAATGGCTGGTTTCCTCAGAAGAGGGTAGAAGGGATCCTGTCTTCTTTCAAAATTTTGACACTTGAAACAAAGGAGACAGACACACAGTTCTCACCTGACTACCTAATTTCCTGCCAGGGAAGACCATGCAGGATCTCCTGTCACTCAGAGGATGGCTTCCTCATTTTGTCTTTTGGGTCCAGTGATTATGAAAAGGAGTCTGGAAACCCACGCACACTCCAAAATGACTGTAGACTAACTCTAGATCTCACCCAGCAATAACACTATTTCCCAATGTGGGTCTGCTATGATTAGTAACATGACACTNTCTCACCCAGCAATAACACTATTTCCCAATGTGGGTCTGCTATGATTAGTAACATGACACTTTATTTAAGAATGTGTTTTTTATAAACACACCATATATATATATTTTAGGGGGATTGTGATTCACAGTGCCTTTTTTCTTTATTTATATATATATACATGGTAATTATATTGGGGTTGGATTTATTTAGTAATTTTTTATTGAAACATAATGATTATGCATATTTATGGGGTACAGAATCATATTTCAATACATGTATACAATGTGCTGATCTATTCAGGGTTATTAGCATATTCATCATTGCAAAACTTAATTCATTCCTTCATGATGTGCACATTTGATCTCCCCCCTTTTAGTCATTTGATTACATGCAGTAAATCATTATTAACTGTAGATTTCTGAGTCAACTGTACACCAATAGAGCTCATTTTTCCTATCTCACTTTAATTTTGTGTCCATTAACCAGCTTCTCACCTCTAGTAACCAAAGTTCTTCTCTCTCCTTTTTAACAGTTTAACTTCATATTATTATTATTTATTTGGGTTTTTGTTGTTCTCTTTTTTAGCTCTCACATATGAGTGAGGACATGTGGTATTTCTCTTTCTGTACCTGGCTTATTTCACTTAACATAATTTTCTCCAAACTCAGATATTATAGAGGCAGAGGAGAGAACACTGGCTGCAGAAGATTGGGGAGGGGGTGGAGGAGGAGGGGAAACAGGGAGAGGTTGGCCAACATGTCCAAAATCACAATAAAATAGGAGGAAAGTATTCTGATGTTCTATTGCAAAGCAGGGTGACTATGGCTAACAGTTAAGTTTTGTATATTACATTATAGCTAGAAGAGAGGCTTTTGAATGTTTTCACCACAAAGAAATGATATACATGAGGTCATTGATACATTAACTACCCTAATCCTATTATTATACAACATCTATATGTAACAAAACATCAGATCGTACTCCATAAATATGTATAATTACAATGTCATTTAAAATTTTTTAAAAAATAAAGATGGAATTTTAAAGAAATACATTATACTCAAATATGAGTACTATCTCATATATCAGAAACCAGAAGTATAGAGAAAAGAAGTAGATTGACAGTAACTATTTCAGTCCTATTTTCTCTTGATCTCTCTGCAAGGAAGATTAAGTAACTTTGAGAACTTGTGTAGAAAACTACCTTCTGGTAAGCCTCATTCTTTTCCTGTTTCACAAATCTTAGGGGCCAAATTACCAATCATAAAAGCTCACCTCCAAAACTGGTCATCTACAAAGAAGTAGGTCTTATGGTAAAGTGGGTTAAAAACAGCTCCGTCAATTTTTTTCACAGAGTCAGGGAAACCCAGAGAACGTATGCTCTTGGGATAGTTTGGCTGTGGTCTTAAATTGCTAATTAACCAATACTTGTCATCTGTGAAAACAAGGAAAAGTGGTACACTGGAATTATACAGAAAGAATAGTACAACTACTAACTTACTAAAAACAACATTGTTCTTTTTCCACAGTTCTTTTTTTTTTTTTAAAGATGACTGGTAAAGGGATCTTAACCCTTGGCTTGGTGTTGTCAGCACCATGCTCAGCCAGTGAGAGAACCGGCCATCCCTATATGAGATCCGAACCTGGGGCCTTGGTGTTATCAGCACCTCACTCTCCCGAGTGATCCATGGGCCGGCCCCTTTTTCCACAGTTCTAAATGGATCGCTTGTTAGTCTTAAGAATAAACATGGTCTATCTCCTATGGTTCCATATGTTTTTTCATGAGTATTACTATCTTGTATTTTACAAACATTTCCCCAAAGTTGTATACCTTATTTAGGTATTTAGGCTATTTTAGCTTATAGTTCAGAGCCACCATTAATAAAATCTGAAGGGTTTTTTTGGTTCATGTCTATAAAAAGTAGTAATACTTTCTTAATTTATTCTCTTTCTTGAAGTAGACTGAATGGAAAAATTAAACATTGGAATTACCTTTAAACAGATACACTTGACTTCTGGCTGCAATTTCATAAGCGGCTTGAATGCCAGATGGCAGGGTGGGCCATAAGGAAGAAATTAGACTAACACTCGTCTTTGGTTTCTCAGGAAACTTCCACCAGAAATACCTGAAATGAAAGACATTTCACACATGTGAAGAATTGATGTGACTCAAGAGCCATGAAAGTGAGTAGAAAGGACCTGCAAAACCACTTGATGTTTCTCTGCCTTTTCTCAACATTCTGTTCCATGCATGTCTGGGTAGGAGCACCACGAGGAAAGGATTCCAATCAATTCTTTGATAGCAGCAGTGACTTTAATAGGCAACCTGGTGTATGGAATACCCTGGAGCCTGGAATCCAGGCATCTAAGGCTCTGGTCCGGCCTCACAATCCATTCACCAGTTTTGTAACCTAAAGGAAGTTACCTAAATTCCAGTGTCTCAGTCTTGTCATCTCAAAAGTAGGGAATATTTGTATTAACTACCAAATATTAATCTTCCGTACTGCCACCCCCCACCCCTGCAATATTTGCTTAAATTTGTGTTCCAGGACAGAAACCATAAATCATCCTGGAATTCTCTTCTCTACAATCAAGAAATCAAGTCTTCTTCATAGGCACTCTCTCACAGCCTGAGTTCCAGACTTCACCATTTTTATCTGTGATTAAAATAGTCTGGCTTCTCTGCTTCCTGTCTTCTAATTCCAGTCCATATCCCTACGGCAAATCCATTGTCTACACACCAGTTTCCAGTTAAAACATAAAGTATTCACGTTGCTCTGTGCTTCAAAACCTTCGGGACCTCTCTATTGCCTACAGAGCCAACTCTACATTCTTACTTACAACTTTTATCTACTTCATGCTCCATCATTTTTCACTATACTCTGAAAAAAAAATCTAATAACAGAGCCTTTAGTATTGGTTAGATATAGAAATGATCCTACCTGTCTTTAAAGAAAAAGATTTTATCTCCCACTGTAGTGACAAAATCAAAACTCAAATTGGGGTCACAGGCAGCTGGATTTGGATTGTCGGGAGTTGGAAGGCGAGGATGCTTTTCTGGGCCTCCTGTAAATACATTATAAGACGCATTAGAAAAAATATTTCTTTCAGTTTATAAGAGGAAGAAACAGTCTTTTCAAAACATTTAATTTTCTTGATAAAAATTGAATCAAAATCAATTTAAGATTTCTACAATATTCACAGGAAGGTTATAGTAAGGATATTTCTTTCTATATGATTGCAACATTATGGAGCATAAAAATCTGAACACTTTGATTTCCCTTTTCCAGTTACATTATTTTCTCTGTACCCTGTCTTTTTAGCTGGGCAATAGTATCTTGGATAGAAAGAAAACCTGACTTGAGGCCTCAGGTTCTGCCTCTGGCTCTGACATTATCATACTAAGTCTTTTGTCCTCATTTGTAAAATGAAGATAATATCTGTGCTACCTGCCTCATAGGGTTCTCACAGGACCCAAAAGAAGACAGATATTAAAGTGTTATCCAAATGTAGATATGATTAAGTATTCACAAGAGTAAATATTTTCATATGACAAATGATAAAGAAATTCAACTCACCATAGAGGGACTGAATGCCGCGTATGTCATCAGCAGAAAGGTGAAACGTGTTGGGGTTTAAATATCTGTAGGAGGGGAACATTATGGCTCTTTGATCATTGGAATGGGAAAGACCCAGGGAATGGCCAATCTCATGAACAGCAACAAGGAACAAGTTTACACCTAAGAGGAAACCAACCGAAAGGGGTAAAGCAGTGAAATACATAGTCATCTTGTGTTTCTCTATAGGGGACTTTCAGTTCTCTATAACTATCTTTCAGTGTCACCATGAATCTAAGAAATTGTCAGCATATTATGAATCACACACATGACCATCTAATCCCATGATTATTGGTACATACAGAGTCAGTGTCTGTGTTTGCTTTTGAGTTCATGGATTTCACTATCACAAACTTATCACCTAAATAACAGCTGTTACCTATCCATACTATGTATCTAAGGTTCCTCTGAGTTTATACTAATGAGCTAACTCATAGCTCATAGAATCTTCATAGATTCTTAGAGCTGATCTTTAAGATATTCTAGTCTAATAGCCTCAATTTATAGAGGGTGAAATTGAAACCCAGACAAAGTGTTAAATTTGATTTAGACTGATTATCATCAGAAGAAATTTTTCCATCCAGTAATGTTCGGAATGTAATCTTCCTAAACCAGGATATAATATAGAATTTGTTGGATTTTTGTTTTCATTTATTGGTTGCTTTGTTTTGTGCTTACCTTGGTGATTTTCAGTCCAGTGTTCATGCTCATCAAAGTGTACATCGCCTCCAATACGAGCTCCTGGTGCAAAAGCATGGGCCAAGATTCCACCCCTGCCATCAAAAGCACTGAAGTCTCCATGATCTTTTTTTTAAAAGGAGAGAAAATTAGATTTCTATACATGCTGCAGATTTTGGCAAATGACACAGATGAAGTCCAAGTTCCTTACCTCCATATGCAAAAAGTATCAAAATGTCAGCCTCGCCTTGATTAACCTTTATGAATTTCAGGGGGGTCACGTTACTCCATACTTGGAAAGCTTTCTGGACGGCATCATCAACATCCTCACGCTTCATGTCAGGGGTGTAATTGGTGATTCTTCAACAAAAAGAGGGATAAATTCATATGGAAACCATGTGTTAATTTTGTCTTCTCACAACACTTCATTTCTGCTAGCACCATTGGAGGATGAATCATGTCATAAATCAAGAGTCCAGATAAGAAAAACTTGTTTCATTAACTTCAGAAACAGTTTTTATTGGGCAGCTTCCTCCTTAACCAAGATTTAACTTGCACCTGCTCCAAGGCTTGTGCATTTATCCATCTTGCCTATCCTATATAAACTCTCTTCTATGTCTTATTTATATTATACTGAACTTTATTGTGCTTTTATTTTTTATTTTTTATTTTTTTTTGTCTTTTTCCGTGTCCGGCAACGGATCGCAACCCTCGGTGTTGCCCCCGTACCGGACCGGGACCGGCAACGGGATCGCAACCCTCGGCGTTGCCCCTGCGCCTCGCTCAGCCAGTGAGTGGGAACCGGTCCGTATGTGGGATCCGAACCCTCGGCAGGAGCGCCGCCACGCTTCTCAAGCGGCGCACTAGCGCAGTGCGCCACCGGGCCGGCCCTATTGTGCTTTTATTGACAGCTTTTCTACTCTGCTTAGGACTGGCAAGCCAAACAACTCTTCCTCAAGTAAACAGTCTTCTCTTCTAGTGACAATGAATTTTAACACAGAGATGGTGTTAACAATTGAGGGATGCTCTTTATCTACCTCCAGATTTAGCGCTATATCCAAGTGGCCAGGTTTCTGGAAGTCAGACCTATGGGAAATTAGAAAAATACATGGCGACATACACCTCTATTACCTGTAGGTGAGAGAACGTTTTTGCCATACTGGCCTGCCTGCAAATGTCCTGAAAGGCTGACTGTCGGGCACACCACACCGAGGAGTGTGCATCATCTCCAGAGTAGATGTGTCCAGTTGCCCAGTCACTGTTAGCCCCAAGAACTGCTGCATTTCCTGGATTTTTTTCTCAAAGTTGCTATCGTCTTTCATTTTTGTCATTGGTGTTCTCTCCACCTCAAGACCATAAAAGTTTCCCAAATATCTCTGGAAAAAAATACAATTGGTAATTATGCAATTATACTCAAAAAAGTTTCTGTTGTGAGCTCTGCATATATATCTCAACTGCACACGGATGCTTTTGAACCAGAAATATTGAACATCTTAAGCACAGTTTAGATTATTGTTGTTTGGACAATTAATTATAATAAAAAAAATCTTAATTTTCTGTGCTGTCAAGGATATGTCATAAATGATTAGCAAGATTTATTCCTGGAAGTCCAGTGAAAACAATTTATGTTTTTACTACTTCAAGTTGTTTCTACTCTTTAAAAGCAATTTCACCGACTAGCATACCATGCCATTCTGTAAGCAGCAAAATGCTTGTTAGGATGGATAAATGATTAATTTAAGTTGGGGTAAAAGTTTCTTAAAAACCCAAAGCTAAACACAATGGACAACTATGATATATCAAAGTTCAAATAATATTAGACAGCAGGGAATTCAAATTCTTAATTAGGGTAATGAAATGAAGAATAGAAAAAAATCTGTTTTTTAAATAATACTTATGAAGAAATATCTGGGATAAGGGAGAGTAAATTATCATGGTAGCCAGACTTCATTAAGTTGGTCATGCCATTGAACTAGCATTAAGTGATTAACATGAAACACCATAAAAGAAGTGAACTTGAATTGTATTGAACTGATATTCCTCGACAAACACTTTTTAGTAGAAGGGAAAAATTCACTCTCCCCCTTTCATAATAGTCTTTCAAAACCAATACCCATATATATATATATATATATTCTTCTTTGGCAAAGAAAGCTCATTGCTGAAAGCAAACAGCCTCCTAGACCAGGTTTCAAAATAAAATCGGTCAATTCATTACATCTTAAAGACAAAAATTATGCTAGATAAATACTATAGTGTCATTACTTACTTCAGCAAATGCCACATCATCATCTTTCAGGATTATGGAGTTGGTCAGAGGAACAGCTCCAGAAACAGTGACCTGCAGAACCAGTGTCAACAGGAAAAACTTCATTGTGAACTTCTCCTGAATGGTTAAACTCAGTTTACTCTGTTCCTGTTTACTACAAGTTCCTTAAATATCCCTCTTTATATAGTCCTTATGCCAGGGTCTGTGAATTTAAAATCCTTTGAATGACTCACAGGTGATATCATTCTTGGATTTTCTCAAAAACATGCAATTAGCATCTAACCCATTATTCATTTAGGCAATTCAGAGTATATTTCTTCAAAATTATAAATAAGCTTTTACTTCCACCAGCCTACATAATAAGCCCTTGTTAAGGAAATATCAATCACCTAAAACATAAAGATCACTTAAAATATATTTTAACAAGGCTTTGTGTTCTCAGTTTTTACAATAATACTTTTCTTATGTTCACTATAGATGAAATCAGTTTTTTGAAAGTATATTTAAAATATTAGATCAATAAAATACTTTTGCTAGGAGAGATGGAACCTCTCTAAGACAAATCTAACTCCCTAGAGAACTGTGATGCAGAGATTTCACATTTAACAAAGAAAAGTTCATAATATCACGATAAGTCTATGTTTGTTTTATGTGTTATACAGCCTTAGATCCTGATTCTATAACTTGACATCTTCAGTCATCGGAGCTGAAGCCAAATATTAACCAGGTGCCTGCATAGAAAGACTCCAGATCTTTCTCTATCTCCCAAATCATCTGCAAGTGGCAACATGAAGGTTCACACTTTTCAACTCTGGAGGATAGGAAAAGTTGGTGTAGAGGTCAAGAGAAGACATCCTCTTCAGCCCCCTGAGTGTTCTCTAAAATATCACCTGATAAACACAGATTAATGTGAAGAAAAGGGATAACAAATTTTATCGTATCATACTTTTACATGACACGGGAGCCTACAGAATAAAGATCTAAAGATACAGAGAAAACTGTCCATTTTAATGCTTAGGTTCTATGAAGCAGGCACAACAGTGTGAAATGGATTGCACAAGAACAGTGCCATCTAACACTAATAGACTGACTGGGGTTACCCAGCAAGGCCTGTCTGCTCAGCGTCTTCTCGGTTTCTATGTACAGCATTCATTCCTCCAGGATAAGGAACAGGACCATTTCTGAGGTGGGGGTCTTATGCCCTGACATCAGACAAAGTATGTTAGAGGATAATTTTAGTCTTTATGGCTGGTTTGGGGGAAAGGGGGTCTGGTTTCTATGACCCACCTTGGGGAAGAGGGATCTTAGTTTCTGTGGCTTCCTCATGGGGGAATGAGGCTGAGAGACAGGAGGGCAAGAGAAGGTCAGAGGAAAGCCTTGCTCTTGAGGTTGCTTCTAAGGCCTTCACTTTGGGGTATTGTTTTCTCAGCTCCAACACTTGTCTCTGGAATCTCTGTATCTCTCTATAAACTCAGTTTCCTTTCCCCTTGACTTAAGTGTCCCATTTCCACAGATTCTGTCAATCGAGAATGCTTGAAGACTGACAACATTTAAAAGTCAGGGAACCAAACTCCAAAGGGAAAGCATTTTTCTGAAATTGGGACTCTGGGAAAATAAATCTCTTCTCACATAGGAAGAAAAGGAGTTCCTTGGAATCCACCTCCAACCTCTAAGACCCTCAGGTGTCTCATTTAAAAATGTGCATATGTGCATAACAACCTTTGCTTTCTTATGCTTTGGTGACCATTAAATGACACTATGTATAATAAATAGTACTACATTCTGTAGCTGCTCTTTAATATTCATTTCCTTCCCCTAGTACAGAAAGGAGACCATCCTGCATCTAACTCTGCCGGCCAGATGTGGCTCTAGGATTCACGAAGTGGAGGATCACATAAAAGAATTGTAAGGTAATGTTTTCCAATATTGAATTTAACTCTGGAATCAAAACAGTTTGGCTAGAAAAAAAAGAAAATGGGATTTGTTGGAAAATATGACAGGGGCTGGTTCTCCACCACTACATTCCTGGTGTCTGAAACAACCTTGAAGTCAGTGGTTGCTCAATAAACGTGTCTGAATGAATCCAGTTGGAGAATAGCGCCTGAAGGACATCAGGAGTAAACTTCCTTTGGGGGAGAAATCATTAAATGGAGGGTGTGCTCCTAAGCCTCACCGAAAGCAAGAACTGGTCTTATCCACAGCAGGAAGGAATCTGGATTCTGCAAAACTTGCAGGAAGTATCATGAGAGACTAGGATGTAACATACAAGAAAACGGCTGACAAAGAGACAAAAAGTGAAGTAATATCCTTACTGGAAATAAAAATAGAACACAACACCCAAATTTTAATTTTTTCTGGGTCTTGACTCACCAAGTATCCCTAGTGGATCAAGTGTAAGCAGATAAGACCACATGGGCAGTGACAGGACATTGCCCTGGTTGTAAACTTAGGTCCTGGAGCAAGTGACGTCCTTCAGAATCTCAGCTCCATCATTTTATGACCTTGACCCATCACTTTCATCTCTTGAAGACTTAATTTCTTTACCTGTGAAATTGGAATAATAATGGTAGTTACTTCAAAGGTATTGTAAGGATTACAGTAAATAACAGGGAAGAGGGCTTAGCCTCCTGCCTGACACACTTTAAAGGTTCGCTGATGCTGTCTTCCTTGACAGTTCCTTACTGCACTCTCATGTAAGACGTTGTAAAAGAGGCCGCAAGTGGGGATGAGAAGAGAGATAACTTCATGCCCAGACCTCACTCCTGTGGTAGAAGCGGTTACAGAAAGATTCTGACCCAGGCCCAGACTGGAAGTTGAGGGTCCCAGCAGAGCCATGGCTTCCAGAGGACACACTGAGGAAAGTGAGAATCAAGGGGTCACTGGCAAGGCTCAGTGTGAAGAAGAGCAGGTGTATGAAAGTGCAAGAGTAGCCAAGTCAGAGTTCCTGTGAGAGGGGCGACTTGTGCTAAGAGTTTCCTTACGAGAAGGTAGATTTTATAGCACAAAGCGTTCAAGACTCTATGACGTTGTTTCCTTCCTAAGCCAGACACCAGGACATCCCAAAGTCTACCCCTGATGCAATCACCTGCAGCCATGTGTGGTGTCATCCCTCAGGATCCACAGGCAAACTTAAACATGGTCATCGGTTAGGACCAGGCAAGGAATACGATCCCGAGATAACCAAAGAAATCCCTTAGCTGGTCCTTTCACCCAGCATGGGGCTGCTCGTGCAGGCAGAAAACTTCAGCTAATTAACTTTCTCCTTTCATGGATGAAAAAGTGGAGATCTTCACCGGAAGAGAGAGTGAGTTGCATTAGGGGACATTCAGGAGGTCTCCTGACTCTGTCCTGACTTTTGCTACAACACACTTTATTTCGTCATTTTGAGTTTCCTTCAGATTTCTGTCTCCCTAAGAGTATCTTACTACTGCAATGATGCCATGATATTCTCAGGCTGTTTGGGTAAAGCCAGGCTATCCCCTTCGCTTGTGTGGGTGACAGTAGTAATCTGACAGCCCAGGGAAGGTAATAGGTGGATGCAGTTTCCCTAGAGAGGTGGCAGTACTAGTCTGCTGTCTGGAAGATGTCCTTCTGAGCACCTGCTTTGGCCTGGGCAGTGTCCTGAGGGTAAGGTGCCTTCTGCTGCCAGGGTTCCCAGGAAGTGGCCTGGAGCACCTCTCAGCAGCCAGTGTTTGGAGTCACTCTCGCCTGTTGTGTGGACTTGGATGAGTTTATTTTTCCATGCCTCATTTTCTTCGTATATAACATGGGGTAATATTAAAGTTTTATAAAGAATAAATAACATAATCCCATAGAAGCACCTGCTGTGTGCCTTTGTGTAATAGGGCCTCAATAAATGTTAATTCTTTGGTTTTTCCCTTTTCCTCTATGCCCAGATATGTTGGTCATGCCATGTTTGGGTTAGCCCAGCTAACTTTTTCTGCATAGAAAAAAAAAATTAAACTTAATAACAAGTGCAATATAAAATTGTTTAAAACCTTCTTCTATAGAAAATAAGTTTTTATAATATACGGGAAAATAGAGCTTTTGTATAGTTCTTCTGTACTGTTACTATAGTTTTAACAAGTGCATCAACACCGAGAAAGGAAACACAAAAAGCCTAGAAACAGTAGATGTCAATGATGGGGAAGGTTCATAGAGTCCCCCCTACTTTCTTCTGGAATGAATTGGAGCTTGACTCTACATGGAGCTGCTACTCAGCTCACCTTAGTCAGGCACAGATGCCAGAGTAACTGCTTAGAAATCTACTGCCTCCAAAAGTACTGCTCAGACCAAAATTATATTAGAGCTCCCTAACCACAAGACAATTGTACCAAGGGGGTGTTGCAGAATGCTGTTAGAAAACTTGGAATGTGTAGAGTGGAAGAAGGGACATCATGCCGAGTGCAGCTCAGAGAAGGGACGTAGAGGGAGGAAGTAGGGAAGGTAAAGACAGCACAGTTCCTTTCTCTTGTCCCTTTTCTCCCCTTGCAATGGCTCCCTTTCAAGCAGCTATAGGCTAAGACATAACATACAGCAGGAAGAATGATGTCCTGGGTGCACGTCATGAGGTAGAGACTATGTAGTGACATATATGTGTGCATCGTTAGTGAACTGTTCATTTCCTGTTCTTGTTCTCCAACAACAAGGAGTGTACCTGAGGGTAGAAGCAATGACTCAGGTATCCCTGAACTGACTTTGACTTTGCAGCCTGGTTCAATGGAAAGAGCAAGACTTTGGAAACAGACTTGGCCTCAAGCCTCAGCTATGCTGCCTACAAGCTGTGTGGCTTCGGACCACTTGCTGAAGTTCAGTTTCCTTGTCTATATATAACTATTGTGTGGATTAAATAAGACGATGCATTAAACTGCTTAGCACTGTGCTTGACTCACTAACAGCCTTTCCGTAAATGTTGGTTCTCTTTCCTTTTTAACAGCTACAGCAGTGCTTCCCAACATTTCTTTCATTAATGCTTCCAGAAAGAGGCATTTTAAACATTTTAGACATTCTCCCCATAAACTTTTAATACCAGAGATGCACTCTACGTGTGTTTATATGTTATTGCATATCTGTCCTTTATACATTAAAAAATAAGATATTTTTTG